CCCACATGGAAGAAGTACACCAACCTGTGTGATCATGAGGTGTTGATGGGATCAGGCATCAGGTATCAAAAGATCCAAAACAAACAACTATATCCAAGCAAATGAGGGGGGTTGAAGTAGAGACCCAAAGCCCAGCTTTAGATAATTGGATATCCCCTCAGAGAATGGTCATAAGGAAGGGATGATTCAACTAAGGTGTAGTATAGCACTGATGAATCACACATCATTCCTCTAGTTCCTGAATACCACCCCCACCCCCCAACTACCATGACCCAGTTCTACTTTACCAATCTGACTAGACCAGACAACACACATTGGTAGAGATAAAAGCTCTTGACACATGGAATTCAGGGCAGATAAACCCCCAGGAACAGCAGTGGGACTAGCAATATTATAGTGTAGGGGCATGGTTGGAGAAGGGGAAGGGCAAGAAAAGGGGAACCCATCACAAGATTGGATATATAGCCCCCCAAAAGGGGACGAATAACAGATATGTGGGTGAAGGGAGACAATGGACAATGTAAGATACGAAATAATAACAATATATAATTGATCAAGGATTTATGAGGGTGAAAGGGTGGAAGAGGGAAGGGAAAAAAGAAAAGCTTATACCAAGGGCTCAAGTAGAAAATGTTTTGGAACTGATGATGACAAAATATGTACAAATATACTTGATACAATTGATGGATGGAATGTTATAAGAGCTGTAAGAGTCCCCAATCAAATGACTTAAAAATAAAAGAGATAAAATGTGACCACAAAAAAGAATCTGGCAAAAAAAAAAAAAGAATCCGGCATCAGGTTTAGAGGAAGATCCATTGACCCTGGCAACCTGCAGATGGTATAACATCGAATGCTAACGTAAAGATGATTTGAAACACATACTGGTGAAAATCAAAGGCTTTTAGCCTTCAGTATGGATTACACATCAATATAAAGCAAACAATAACCTTGACAATTGCAACATCAAGATACACAGAGCAAAGTGTGCAGCTGTCAAGACTTTCATTTTACGTGGATCCACAATTAATGCTCATGGAAGCAGCAGGCAAGAACTCAAATGATAAATTACAGTAGATAAATCTGCGGCAAAAGACCTATTTTAAGAGCTTAAAAAGAAAATATGTCATTTTCTGGATTAGGGTGTACCTGACCAAAGCCATACATCATATGTATATGAAAAAAAGCCAGCAATGAGAAGGAAAGAGACAGAAGACTTGATGTACTCAAGTTAGGGTGTTGGTTAAACACATTGACTATCCAGTGGACCACAAGAAGAATGAACAAATCTGTTTTGGAAGAAGTACAGCTAGACTGTTGCTTAAAAGCAAGAATGGGGACACTTTATCTCACGTAATTTTGGCGTAATTTTGGTGAGGAGGTACCAGTTCCTGAAGAAGGACCCCATGCTTGGTAAATGGCATGAATGGCAGAATGGTTGCAATAATGGTCTCAAACACAGCAACAATTGTTTAGGTTGATACAGGATTTTGATATTTTGTTCTACTGTCCACAGGATTGGTCGGGGCTGGAACCAACCAGATGGCACCTAGCAACAACATAAATTGATATATACCATGTTTCATACCCATGGTATGCGGCTTACTTAGCTTAGTGGGTTTTTTAATGACTGCATTTAAAATGCTAAATATATCTTAGCTAAGAACAGAGAAAGGTCAGGGCTCTATAAGGCTAGTGGAAGAGTCAGCATGGTTTAAGGAGGGCTCGCAGATTTCAGTTGTTTAATTCCTGTGATTAAGCTCAACCAAAAAAAATTTGTTTAATAGATCCTTATAGGAAAGTAGAATTGTAAATAATATCTGACAATTTTGAACACAGAAGCTACAACAACACTAATTCTCACTTATATGTGTGTGTATATAATGGGCCAATTAGCCCCCACTATAGTTTGTGGGCCCAATTTATTTCAGAATTTCTTACTACAAGACATTCATGTAGCCACTTGTAAATATATATGTCAATATTCAAATGGGTAGCGGTCCACTTTTAGGCTAGAACACATGAAATGTAAAGCTATTCACATGAACTCCGATTTTAAGGACATTGGTGAAAATTTCATTTCAATATTGCTGGATGATTTGTGTCTTATTTTCTCAGTCTAGAAAATGGCAATTTGTAAGCTTATGGGATATCCATCACACTTGGCATCTGAAGTGCACACTATTTTGCACTAAATATCAAGAGCATTATTACCACAGTGACTTTCTATCTTCCATTTTCAGGCTTGTACAACATTTGTAGGACCTATAAGGTCAGAATTACATTCAATTTTGTTTGAATAGTTCATAAGTGCTCTTTACAAATATCCATTTTAAAGTCATCTCAATTTTGTAAGTTAGGATTGTGACTTTTAATACTTGGTAAGGACTTTTATCACCTGATTCTACATTATCTCCCCACTTCCCTATAAATCTGCCTCTCCTATTCCTGCCAGGAGATCTCAACTCTGGCCTAGGATCCTCTAGACCAGTGGTTCTCAACCTTCCTAATGCCATGACCCTTTAATACAGCTCCTCATGTTGTGATGACCACCAACCATAAAATTACTTTCATTGCTACTTCGTAACTATAATTTTGCTACTGTTATGAATTGCAATGTCAATATCTGGTATGCAGGAGGTATTAGGCGACCCCTTCAAAAGAATCATTCAACCCTTAAAGGGGTTGTGACCCACAGGTTGAGAACACTGCTCTTGATACACTGTTCCTTCGGCTTTCCCCTCAACTGTCTCTCCTTCTCTTCCTTCTTATCTTTGCTCAAAGGTCACAAGAGCAGTGAGACCTTCCCCACTCACTCCTTTCAAACAAACCTCTACCTCAGGTACTCTCTAATCTCTTGTCTTGCTGATTACATTCTCCACCAAGCTTATTGCCATGGGACTTAGTTCACCTTCACTTATTCGATGACGGCCTAACCTGACCCACGGGGAGGCAACTTCTTTCCTTTATGTTGACCATTACCTTACCCTCAGCACCTGGAGCAGTGCTTGGTATAGAGCCCCGAGATTTGAAACTCCCTGCAGTTGAGTTGCTTCTGCCTTAGCAGAGTCGAATTGCTCCATAGGGTATCTGAGACTACGAATCTTTATGGGAGCAAGCAGTCTCTTACCGGCCTTCCTTTCTCCCACCTTTGAGCCACCAACCTTGCTGCTAGTGACCCAATGCCTAGCCCACAGAACCACAAACAGGAACTCAGATATACTTGCTGAGTGAACTCATGGTGCATCTTTCTCTGAGTTCAATGTGCCATTTAATGCATGGAATTAATCACGTTAAATGGAGAAACGCACGTACCACGCAGGAGGCTTCATATTGCTTCCCCAGTTTGGGTCTCAAAAATGCACTGAAAAACCAACAGAGACATTTGTTGTAAACATACGCAAAAATATGAACGTATCTTTATGACATATCTTTCAAGGAAACATGACATGACTGTGGAACTCCATTTTCATGTCTCCCTATAGCCTGTTAATGAGCAGGTGTTGAATAGTCGACAAATAGGTTTTCCATGTGCAATGATATACATGAAACAGATGGGAGTCGCTGCGGTTCTCTGTGTCCACTTGGGCCCTGAAGACTTTTAATCACGGTCTAAATGACCAGGGGTTACCAGTGGTGCATCCTTGATGTGCCCAGTTATATTGAAAAAAGAAAAAGAAAGAAGAA